TAAACCTGTGAAAAACATTTCTATTAATTGTAAATTGCCTAGTCTCATATTTTTTGTTACAGAGCACATACCAAGACAGCATTTGACATATACTGATCACTTGCTATGTATCAGGCATTTGAGCTAAGTGATTCAAACAGTTACCTTACTTAATTTTCTTAATAACAATATGAAAAGGATACTACTGTCAATTCCATTTTCAGCTAAGAAAAACGGGGCTTCCAAAGGCTAAGCAGCTGTCCTAGATGTGATATGTAGTGAGTGGAATCTGGGGTTCTGTCTGCTTAACTCCCATAAGCAGAAGTAACTAGAGAAATTATTATGCAGTAATAACACTGTTTCAGTGGCTTTCACTTACTGATTAGATCAAGTTCAAGAACATTACAGGGGAAGCATCATTCATCTGTTAGTAGCAAAGAACTTTCACTGGGTACTATTAGTTTTTAACACTGTATCAGATGCTTCAAATACAGTAAGAAATTCTGAGAACCTGCTAAATAAGTGTTCTGTGTGTGAATCAGCCACATCCATGACAAATTATCAGCACTATCAGTGCTCTCTAGGTAGTTAACAGCATCTAACAAGACACTATGAAGCTCTATAAATGTACTGTCAGAAATAACCAACTAGAACAAAAATGTCAAACATCTAAGATTCTATTTCCTAGAAATGTAGACTGCATCTATTGGCATAATTTTGAAACCTTACTACAGAATCTCACCACTTCCACCAAATAATAATATGTACAATGGGGGGAGAGAGAGGGAGAGAGAGAGAGAGAGAGAGAGAGAGAGAGAGAGAGAGAGAGAGAGAGAGAGCACCCTGTGCACATATACAAAAGATCCTTCACTTTCCAACCCAATTTGCAGAATATATTCTGTGTTGGGAAAATGGTGATCATGAACAGCCTTGGCTTTTCTCTTTCCAGCTTGAAGAGACATATGGTTGCAGGGTACGTGTCTCCTGCTTGCCAAGTAGCTGGCAGAAGTAGATGGCAAGCCAACCACCTGCATTCCACTTTTATACTGCCTCTGTCTATGACTTTGCTAAACTGATTACAAAACTTCCAAAGACACTAGATAAATTTTAAAGTAAGACAACAACCATTCTGGTTGACTTTAAACTCCAACCAAAGAGGTGTGGTACAAAGGAATATAAAGGGAAAACGAGGCTAGCAAAGCTAACAAGTCATTTACAATGCTGTTTATAACCTTTACCACACAACGCCCATCACACTTCCATCCACCATTACTTTAAATACAGGAATGTGCCTGAAGCCAAAGCTTAGGAAAGAAACCTTTCTGTCTACCTAACTATAAATACTTTTCATTTCTTATGTCACTATAATACATATTAAAACTAGGAAGGATTTTACTTAATTTTGTTTCCAGGTCCTGCTATGTAACATATTCTGTATATATGTATATAGACAACACATTCTTATACCATAAGTATATACAAACTTGGGAAGATGGCACCATTTGGGAATAGTGCTTTAGTTTAAAAAAAAAAAAAAAAAAAAAAAAAAAAATCAATGTACTGTCCCTGCAGGTTCCTGATGTAAAATTCTATAATCAAGGCTTGTAGATTTGTAATTATGGTGTGTCAGCTACATTTAAACAAGAGTGTTAAAAGATTGTTAAAGTTAAAGCAACACAATTGCAGTGTGAATTGTCCCAGTCTCATTCTAATCTCCTGGTGTCACTTTCATTTAATCAGAGGAAAACTATGGGGCAATGTCAGTGAGATTTCTAATACTTTAACACTCTTACTTCACACTGGATTTTAAGCTATTACCAATCTAAAATGGTTATAAAAAGATATACTAATAAAGTTTTTTTAATCAATTAGTTCACCCACCAGAGGGCTAGCTTATCAGGTTTAACTAAAAGTTGGCTTTAAAGTCAAAAGTCACCTTTTAAATTAAAGGTGGATTAAAATATTTTTTCTTGTATAATTTCTTAAGTCATTTATTTATTATATGTACATATGTGTGTATATATATATATATATATGTATGTATCCTTATTTTACATATCAATCCCAGCTCCCTTTCCCTCCTATAGCATTTCTTTTTATCATATGTCTAGCAACAAACATCTTATAAACACAAATCCTACTTGGAAAAGTAGACAAAAGTCACTTAACTAAAACACCACATCTTGACACACAGAGTCAAGAAAACAAATCCTAACTTCCCTCTACTTTAATAAAAATATTTCCAAGCAACTAATACAGGGGGGAAAAAAGGCTACCATAGCAAGGATTTGTATTTTTGTCACACCTTTTAAATTAAATAAGGCCTGATGTATACAGATTAACAGTATATAGGTATATCCTCAACAGCCTCCAAATAAATTACAGCATATACAAAATAGAGAAACAGAAGCTTGGTACACAGAAGACAACCAATCATGTAGTTTTGTGGGATGTTTGCAGTTTTAACAGAGAATGTTCCCCATCCTAGGAAACTACAGTTCAAGAAAATTAGGACAATTGATGCCACTTAAAGATTTAGACTAACTGTATAGTTATATTTATTTTTATATCAACTTCACATATTAAAGTCACCCAGGAAGAGGAACATTCAATTAAAGAATTATCTCCATCAGATTGACCTGTAGGCACTTACTTGACTAATGACTGACATGTGAACACCAAGCCCTGGGCAGTGCCACTCTGGAGAGGTGGTCCTGGGCTGTATAGGAAAGCAGACTGCACAAGCCCTGGGAAGCAAAGCTCTAGGCAGTGCTCCTCCACAGTCTCTGCTTCAGTTCCTGCCTCCAGAGTCTACCTGAGTTCCTGCCTTGGTGTCCCTCAGTGTCCCACTGTTATCTGGAAGTTAAAGATGAGATAAGCCCTGTCCTACTTAACTTGCTTTTGGTAGTGGTGTTTATCACAGCAAGAAAAAAAGTAACTAATACACAGATCAAATCTACCAACAATGCCCACTACTGTCCATGCATTACTTAGCTGAAATGCTTGGGACCAAATGTGTTTCAAATTTCAGGATTTTTCAGATTTGGGGATATCTGTATAAACTTTACCAGTTGAATATCCCATAACTGCAAAACCTGAACATCTTCAATGTCGAATCAGCACTCAGAAAGTTCTGCATTTCTAAACATTTTGAATTTCAGATTTTCCAGTTAGGGATGGTCAATCTGTACGGAGTCACATGTTAACAAAACTGATTGCTCAGAGAAATGTCATTTAATTACCTCTAGCTAGCGCACATGTCTATTTTTATAGCCTGAATTAATCCTAAAAAGAAAAAAAAATCTTTGTGACTGAGAGGACATACTTAATATTTAAGAACTCCTCTTCATCAGAGGCTCAGACCAGGCCAGCCTCACTGCTGTCCAACATTCTTCCTAAGTAGACTCTTTCCTGTTCCTAGTGACTTATTCTCTCCTCTGACTTGTTATCAACAGGTTACATTCCTCTGGGGTGAAGCTCTTACTACTTTCCACTTGTGTTGGTTTGAATGAGATGGTGTGGATTATTTGGCAAATTCCAAATCTCTACCCCAGCATCCCAGTTGTAATCAGAAACTTTGCTTCATTTGCTTGCTCTGCCACTAACTTGAAGTACTACTTTAGAAACATTTCAGGTTTTTTAAACTTCCTTAAACGTGTTCCTGACCGAGAAAAACGTTTACAATGTATCACAACGCCAGCCACTATTTACTTGCCACATACTGTTACCAAACAGCACAGTAGGCATTTCTTTCAATAACTGAACACCAGGGGAATTTAGACTCTATCTTACAAGTTCAGTAAAAGAGGCATAGTGCGACGTGATATGTTCTAGAATACATAAAAATCAATGGTAGAATCAAGATTTGGAGTCAAGTCAGGCCGTGGTGGTGCACACCACTGATCCCAACACTTGGAAGGCAGAGGAGGGGGGAATCTCTGTGAGTTCAAGGCCAGCCTGGTCTACAGAGAAAGTTCCAGGTGAGCCAAGGATACACAGAGAAACTGTCTCAAAAATACATAAATAAATAAATAAATAAATAAATAAATAAATAAATAAAATAGAAGTCAGCCACAATTCAGAGCCAGCTGTGCATTTCCCTACCACTCAGGCCATCTCCCAGCTGCCTTTGTAATAATAAATGTTTCCAAAGTCCTGTGCGAAGAACTAAAACTTGGGGGCAGACTCTCAAAAGTGACTTTCCTTTCCAGGTTGTCCTCCCTCTGATGGGAGTAGCAATAACCAGCGGAGAGAGAGATGGGCCAACAGGGGAAAGCTATTCATTCCCACTGCAGCAGAATGACCTGCTTCGCAAGGAGGCTGTGTATCTCTCTTCTTGGAATGCTTCACAGTCTGATCACCTTGGATCTGAACAAAATAGTCCTAATGAGCACTGAAGCACGTATAAACAGCCGGGAGTCCAGGCAAATCACAGGCCCGGCCTACTCGTGGGAAGCAGCATCCCACAGCTCTGGGGCGTGCTTCGGAGGAAAAGTTTGCAGAGATGCTCAAGTTCCCGCCCCGCCTCGCAAAGTCTGGGAGTCGGCCATGTCGGAGCCCGGGGTGCCACCGCCGTCTCTTCTGGGTGAGGCCCGTGCTCTCGGCGGCCCCTAACCCTGAGGGCTGTCGAGTCACCTGCGGCCAGGCCAGGGTGGACTCCGCCTCCCGACCGCCAAGTTGAGCGAGCGGCCGCCCGGCGCGCGCAGGCCGAGGCCCCGCAGCCGCAGGCCGCCCTCCTCCTCCCGGGCCGCGGAAGCCGGAGGCGCCTGGCCCCGAACACCGCACGGAGCACGGCCGGTCCGGCGCCTCGGTCGCCCCGGGCCCTGCAGGCTGGGCGGCCAGGCCAGCGCCGAGGGCGGCTCCCGGCCAGCGCCGGCCCGGACCTGTGCGGCCGGCCCCTCGCGTCCCGCCCGCCGAGGCCTGGGCGCCGCGCCCGCCTCGGGCCTACGCTCCGCCGGACGCCCCGAGCCGTGAGGAGAGAAGGGCAGGCAGAGGCCGCAGCGCCGCGGGCCGCTCCTTACCGCTTCACCACGCCTGTCTTGATCTTGATCTGCCTCACGCGAGGATCGGCCATGGTCCCCAGAGCGCCGCGGGAAGGAGGGGCGGGGCTGCGCGATGCGCCTGCGCAGAAGGGGCGGTGAGGGGGTAGGCGTGGTGTGGAGGATGGGCGCACGCGCACCCTGGAGCCCAGCCCCGCCCCGCCACGCCTCCCCAGCCTGAGCCTGCAGTCCCCGACTCTAAAGGCGGCTGCACCGGGTGCTAAAGGGCTGCCAGGTCTCCCACCATCTGCTTCTCCCTATCCTCCTTGTGCTTGGTTTGGGCACGAGGTACACTTTTTTACCCCCTAGTCTCCACAGCCTGAGTTAAACTTTCTGTTCCTGAGAAATTGGGCAGATGATCTACCTAATGGACAGGGTGACCCTAGAAACCATTGTCAAGGATTGTTTTGGTTTTCATTGTCTGTTGTGGAATGGAGAAAGCTACCTGTATTTTGATGAAATAAAATACCACCGTGCAGACAGTCAAAATAAATCTTCACCCTTTTCCTAACAAAATGTTTGTAGAACCAGTGGGTGGTGGCATGAGAGGTAAAGGCAGAAGGATCTCTATGAGTTCAAGGCCAGCCTGGTCTACAGAGCTAGTTCCAGGACAGCCAGCGCTAAAAAGAAAACCTGTCTTGGGGGGAAAAAATTAAAGAAAGAGAGAGAGAAGTTTGTAGGGTGTGACTTAGGTAAGTTGTCATGCCCTGCTTGAACTTGGAGAAAGAAGACTCTGGGGGTAAGGAAGTTCCTCCTAGCCTACATTTTAGCAAGTTTGTTCAAAGTCCAGCAAGACTCCCTGTCCTGAGACATACTAGCTCCCTAACCCTGTGACAGCAAACAGCTCAGTGCATTAAATACAATGTACCTACTTGGCTTAGAAGGTAGTAGCCTTTGCCTCCAAGCCTGCTGACCTGAGTCCAATCTGCAGGGCTCAAAATGGACAGAAAGAATGAACTTCTTCAAGTTGTCCTTTGACCTCCACGAGTACACCATAGCATGCAAACACACTCAGGCACTCCTGCATACTAAATACATGGTTTGGTTTGCTTTAGTTTATTGCTTTTTCAAGACAGGATTTCTCTGTGTAGCCCTGGTGTCCTGGAATCCCCTCTCTAGAACAGGCTGGCCTTGAACTCATATAGAGATCTGCCTGCCTCTGCCTCCCAAGTGCTAGGATCAAAGGTGTGTGCCACTGCTGCCCAACTATAAAGATGATTTTAAAAAATTAATTTGCCCCCTTGAGAAGAGTTAGAAGGCTAAACATTTGGAACAGAAGTTAATATTGTTTGTCCTATGCTTTAAAAATGCCTACAATGGCAACAAAATGGCAGAGACCCCTCCACAAGAGGACACACTGGGCATAAGTCACTCAGGAACCCCAGGAGGACTTCTCTTGTTTCTGATGGGTGTTTTAGATACTTAGGTTGATGATATTATCTATGTGTAGACCTGCTCTTTCTTACTGAACACATGATGTACTCAGTCCCTTGAAAGTAAAAGTCTGGAGACCATAGATCATTTTTGTCTGGAATGCCAAATACCACCACTAGTGTATCTTAAATAGTCAACATTCAAAAATCATTGTGTGGCACACAGGGTGTGGGCATGTAACTCAAGAAACCTATCTTACGTGTGGAGTTCTATCCTTTAAAGAATACAGGACCGTGGCACTTAACCTACCTAGAGACCCATAGGAAAAAAGCCCACTTTACAGGACGGAATGTACATTAAATCATCCAGCTCAGTCCCTAAACACAACAGACACTCAACAACTTTTCAGACATGATTTGCATTAGAGGCATTCTCCACTGTGCTCTAGAGCCTCTCTCTGTTGAAGCGCGCCGCGCGCACGCGCGCACACACACACACACACACACACACACACACACATGCATGCACAGAGAGAGAGAGAGAGAGAAAGAGAGAGAGAGAGAACTCAGGCATAGCCTCCCTTGTTTCCTTATTTCTTGGTACTGTCCTTCACTTGACTGTCTTTACCCTTTCTGACATTTAATATACTTCCTGTCTTAATGGTTGGCTCTGGAACACCCTTCAGGATCAAAACCAGCTCCCAAGGAAAGTCTTCCAGGGCTGACCTCTGCCTATGCAGTACTCCAGAAACACATTGGTAAATTCTATTATATGTACATTTGTTTGGGAACAATTCTGCTTGAGTTCTTTACAAGGGTTGTGCTCACCGCTTTAGCTGGAGTATAAGCATCTCTAGAGGTGAGAACCTTGACTTTCATAAATCTTTCTCCTAAACCTCCATTTGTGTGATGTACACAGCAGGTGCTAAATTCAATAACTACTATTCTCTAGCTGGCTGGCACAATGAACTACAATCCCAAGTGATACACAGCAGAGCTGTGAAATATAGGGGAGGAGACAAACACACAGCAGCAGAGTCACCAAAGCAAACACTGTGAAGGACAATGGAAGCTGCAAACCATGCACCAACGAGGGGACACGGAGGCCTTTGCTACTGCCCAGGACCTTTCGGCCACCACAGATAAAACCATTTGACTCATCACATTTTCCTTTTTGCCCAGGTTTTCAGACCTTCCAGGCTCAGTTTTGTGCTAATTTGCAGGAATTCCTTTTACACACACACCTACTCTTTCTCCCCAACCCCCAACTTTGGAGCTGTCCTTTGCCCCTTATACCATTTAGTTCTTGTCTGTGCTTTGGGTGTAAATTGCTACCTTCTGTATGCAATTCAGCAGCCCAAAGACTGTTGCTGCAGCTGCTGCTGCATGTGTTCAATCCCAGGCTCTCCAGGACAGTTTGTGTTTATCTGTGTCTGTGTAGTCTACATTGTATGCTTGGGGCTGTAAAGTAACAATATGGAGTATGGCAAAGGGTTTTTTAAAGCTTCTGTTAAATTTTAAGTGGAAGTTCTTATTAGCCACGTGGGCGCCATTTGTAGGGAGTACGGTTTTTCCACCCGCCGCCAGGTCTTATCCCGCCGCCGCTGCGCCAGCCCCAAATAATGCACAGGGACTCTGTATTTGATACAATGCTATTGGCCAGGTGCTAGTTTCTTATCGGCTAGCTCTGTCTTATTAACCTATTTCTATGTATTTCCACGTGGCCTTACCAGCAAGAGGCGGCTGGCAGTTCTATTCTCTCCAGACTCTCCATCTTGGCTCCTCCTTACTACTTCCTCTTTCCTCCTTGTCTCTTAGCCCCTCCTATCTTCCTTTCCTATTGGCCAACAGTGCTTTATTCATTAACCAGTATGAGAAACATATATACAGAATGACATTTCCCATCATCAGTAGGGACTTAAATGAACTTGTTCCAACCTCTTGACCTCATAGCATTTGTTAAGGATATGTGTACGGAGTCAGACCAACCTGGGTCAAGTTCCAACTCTTCTTTTTCCATTAACTGTAACTCTCAATTTCTTAACATCTCTTAGCCCAGTGTCTTTATCTGTAAGGTGTAGAAGATGGTAATAATGCCAGCCTCGTAAGATTTTCACAGAGCTTAAATGGGTGCTGGTGTTTGTTGGATATGTCATCTGGGAAAAGGGTACTAAATAAGGAAGTGTTCACACAATAGGATATGAACATAGAGATGTGAGTGTTATCATTAATATCAATGACATAAGAGTGACTCAGTGTTTGGTCATTTTATATGACCAAGACCATGTTTAATTTATTCACCATTGTATCCCAGCACGTAGTTATATCTAGAACATAGTAGGCACTCATATTGTTTTAGGCCTTTCTTTCTTCTTATTTTTCTTTCTTTCTTTCTGACAAGGTATAGCTATGTTGCCCAGCCTGCCCTTGAGCACACTATGCTCCTCCCTCAAAGTAGAAGAAATTATAGGGAAGTGTCATCATGCCTGGCAACATACATTTCTTCAGTAAATAAGTAAGCTGCTTTGAAGAGCTCTTGGGTTTCCATTTAATCATACATCACAGAGACTGACTGCTCATTCCAGCAAGATGATGATAATAACAACATGAAAGCCCCTTCCCCTCCCCACATACACCCATATTCTTCTCTGCCTTGCTCTGACAAACAGCTGCAGAGATAGCTCAATGAACAAAATGATGCTGTCCAGGCATGAGGACCTGAGCTCAGATACCCAGAACCTATGTAAAAACCAGGCATAGCCGTATATACTTAGAACTCCAGGGCTGGGATGGGGCAGAGGGTGCAGGCTAGAAGATCCCCAAAGGACTGCTGGCTGGCTGTCCCAAACATCAGGCCCTAGGTTCAGAGAGAGAACCCGCCTCAAAAAATAATGTGGAGAATAATATAGGACAATGACCAGAGTCAACTTTAACCTCTATATGTGCATTCACAGGAGAATGCACACACACACTTGCACACACATGTATGCATATCACACACACACACACACACAAGTTGTGTGATGTTTTACTCTTTTGGCTCTTCAGTCTTTTGGACTCTTTGGGGAGCCCACCATCCAGCTCCCCAATAAATCACACACAGAGGCTTATTCTTAGTTAGGAATGCCCGGCCATAGCTTGGCTTGTTTCTGCCAGCTTTTCTTAACTTAAAATATCCTGACTACCATTTGCTTCCAGGCTTTTCCCTTCTCTTACTTCTGTATATCTTACTTTTACTCTTACTCTGTGGCTGGCTGGCTGGCTGGCTGGCTGGCTGGGTGGGTGGCTGGGTGGCTGGGTGGGTGGCTGGGTGGCTGGGTGGGTGGTTAGGTGGCTGGGTGGCTGAGTGGCTGGCTGGCTGGGTGACTGGGTGGCTGGCTGGCTGGATGACTGGCTGGCTGGGTGGGTGGGTGGTTGGGTGGCTGGCTGGCTGGGTGGCTGGGTGGCTTGGGTGGTTGGGTGGGTGGCTGGCTGGCTGAGTGTCTGGGTGACTGGGTGGCTGGCTGGCTGGCTGGCTGGGTGGTTGGGTGGCTGGGTGGCTAGGTGGCTGGGTGGCTTGGGTGGTTGGGTGGGTGGCTGGCTGGCTGGGTGTCTGGGTGACTGGGTGGCTGGGTGGGTGGGTGGCTTGGGTGGTTGGGTGGCTGGCTGGCTGGCTGGGTGGGTGGCTGGCTGGATGGCTGGGTGGCTGGGTGGTTGGGTGGTTGGGTGGCTGGGTGGCTGGC